TCGAGCTTGGCCACCAGCTGTCGCAGCGGCTTCAGCATGTACTCCTCCTGGGCGAAGAGAATGAGCAGAAAGACGGAGAGGAAGAGTAGGGTAATTGCCACAAAGGTGACCAGCGTCAGGAGAGATCTAAACAAAAAAAAATGGTGATGATTGTGCAAATTAGCACATAGAAAGGGTGGAGAAATAAAACAAAGACAGGAAACGACAAATTAGCCATAACAAATAGGCGTGCCAAAAGTCAGCCAAGCTGATTGATCACTTACAGCGGCAGTATAATGCAGTAGACGGCGAGCATAAAGAGCCAGATGACGGTAGNTAGCCATAACAAATAGGCGTGCCAAAAGTCAGCCAAGCTGATTGATCACTTACAGCGGCAGTATAATGCAGTAGACGGCGAGCATAAAGAGCCAGATGACGGTAGCGCAGAGGAGGTTGGAGCGAAAGACGAGATCGGGAATCTTCCGGAACTGCATATAATGCGGGTTAATTATCAGAAAAAATCAAGAATTTGCGTGTAATAAAATGCCTAAACACGCAACTAAACCTAACTAACTCACTGCACTGCACTTACCGCAAAGACGGAGATGGCAGAGACGGAAACGGCAAAAATTATGGCAATTACAAGACAGCAGAAGATGGCCCGAACGCAGGGGCTCTGATCGAGCTTGGCCACCAGCTGTCGCAGCGGCTTCAGCATGTACTCCTCCTGGGCGAAGAGAATGAGCAGAAAGACGGAGAGGAAGAGTAGGGTAATTGCCACAAAGGTGACCAGCGTCAGGAGAGATCTAAACAAAAAAAAATGGTGATGATTGTGCAAATTAGCACATAGAAAGGGTGGAGAAATAAAACAAAGACAGGAAACGACAAATTAGCCATAACAAATAGGCGTGCCAAAAGTCAGCCAAGCTGATTGATCACTTACAGCGGCAGTATAATGCAGTAGACGGCGAGCATAAAGAGCCAGATGACGGTAGCGCAGAGGAGGTTGGAGCGAAAGACGAGATCGGGAATCTTCCGGAACTGGGCATAAAATGCGGGCTCATTAGCGGAAAAAAAATCAAGAATTTGCCTCTTTTTGTGTGGGCTAAAATGCCTAAACACGCAACTAAACCTAACTAACTCACTGCACTGCACTTACCGCACTCTCGTAGTCGCGTGACTCAAAGGTAAGGAGGAACCAGTTGACATTCTCCTGGAACATCCGCTTATTCGACTCAATCTCAATGCACTGGTCAATGAAGGCGTCCACCTGTTCGCTCATGGAGAGGACCTTCTTGTAGAGCTTCTTTGACTTTTTGACCGCCGTGGTGCTGCTGAGGCCCGCAGAGTGGCCGCCCCGGCTGAGGTCCGTCTCGACGACAAAGTCGCTGATCTCCGCGGCGCCGCTGATCTCCTCGCACTCGATGACGCTGCTCTTTGCTTGGCTGGTAGGTGACATTGATGATTTGCGACTGGGCACTGAGAGGAGGTTTGAGGTGCCGTCCAGACCGGTGACCAGCGTTTTGCTGCTGCTGCAGTTGTTGTTGTTGTTGTTGCTGGTGCTATTGACGGCCGAAGTAATGTTGTTTCCGGTGCTGCTATTCTGGTCAATGGTGATGGATGCACTGCAGTTGGCATTGCAAGCTGCTAAACTGACCATTCCCCCATTAGCCTCTAAATGCGCTAAACGACTGCTGACAGCCGCCAAATCAAAAGGGTCCTCCTCGGTGGAGTACCTCAGGTCGCTTATCTGTCAAATTGAAAAGTGCAAATTGTAAAAAGTGATGTAAAATGTGCACAAGTCAAAAACATAAATGTCATACGAGCAAAATAAAATGCCGCTAACGAGCTGTCATACTCACTGTTAGCGGCACACAATGTGACACTTACATTTTGAAAGGGAATCTCGGGGAACCACTCGCCACCGCCGCCGTCGCCATTGTCACTTCCTCCTTGTCCAATTCCACCTTGAGCACTGCCGTGCAGCATGTTCCGCACCAGTCGAACATCATTCGCCGACAAGTGGCCACCACTGTTGTTGGATGCAGAAGATGTTGCGGCGTTATTAGCAGCACCTCCACTACTGGCGTTATCATTTGCTGAACTACTGGTGGCATCAATTGCGATTGCCGTCTCCCGATTGGCAGTGAATGACGATGAGGAGCTGTTGTGCTGCTGATGATTGTGGTTGTGTTGATGGTGGTTATGGTGGTGATGGTGGTGGTGCACTCCAAGCTGCTCGACACGCTTCAGCAGCCTCTTGATGGATCGGCCCTTCTTAAAAGAGGAGGAGGTCTTGCCGGTAGTGGAAGAGGAAGCAATGGACTGCAGGCCCGGACTGGGCTCACGGCTGTTCTCTGCAGTCGTGACAGGAGTGCTCTGCTCTGCTTCAGTGGTCGCAACCGAAGCAGCAGCTGTATCACAGTTGTCTACTGTTGAGGCTTTCCGATCAGCAGCAGTGCTAACGATCGCCCCCTTATCGGTTGAGGCACTCTTGGTTTCGGCACTAGCACCAGCCTTACAGCCATGACCATTCGCAGTGTGTGAGCTGACTGATTCCTTCTGCTGATTAGCACCGGCGACAGCAACAGCAGCCGCTGACTCCGATTCTGGTTCATTAGGACTGCAAGCATTTGACTGCTTCAGCGGGGTCGTTTGCAGGCTGGAGGCGCCAGATATCGATTCGACTTTAATGTCAATCGGACAGGGAATAGCTGCTTTTGCGGCGGCTGCCTCTTTCTCGGGTGTTGAACTTTCATTGTTATTGTCATCTCCTTCTTCTCCTCTTTCTGCCGAAGCTTCCTGGTTCTTTGCCTTGATCGCCGAGTAGAGCGTGTTCACGTCGACGCTGCTGCTGCTGTGCTTCTTCTTCTCCTTTGCAGCCGATACACCGTCTGCAGCAATCGGCTCGCTATTTGTCTTCGTTGCCTGTGAGTGAGGTGTTTAAAAAAGGTGTTTTTAAAGTGGTCAAATTGGTGGTCGTTAACGTGAAATGAAATTGAATGAATGAAGATTGAAAGTGTGCAGTAGCCACTTTTGGCCATCGCCTACCCCGCAAGGCGATATATCCTCACGCTCGGCTATTGCTGTTCCTTTTTTTGCCGCTCATCATCATCATCATTAATGTCAACACTAATGGCTAAACAAAATAAAACAGCAGCAGCAGCACTCTCACCTTTTGCTTCCACCTCTTGGGTCGATCCTTCACAATGAGGTAGGTCTGAATGCCATGGTCTCGCAGATATGTGTCACGTTCTTCGCCGTGCCCTGTCTCCAGTTCGTAGACCCCGTTCAGGTAGCCCTTTGTCCGCTCGGAGATGTGCACTCGACTGTCGGCAGGAAGAGAAAACAAAAGTGGACAGTTAGGGAAAGTGTTTGCGGCGGCGACCGGCCGACCGGCCAGCAGTCAGCAGGCAATTTAACAATCAGCTGTGTGCAAGCTAAAAGAAGAGGTAAACACAGCCACAATCACTTCTGCTAATGAAGCGCAACGTTTGGCTTTTGTTGTTGTAAAAGTGTTGGTGGCTACAGAAGCAGTAAAGTGTAATGTGATGATGGCCAGAGGACAGGCGGCGAATGTTTTTTTGCAGTGAGCAAAACGAGCATCATCATCATCATCAACAAAAACAAAAACAAAAACAAAAACAAAAACAACATTCCAAATAGTGCTTTTTCAATGGGCAACAAATTTTGAAATTCAATGCTGTTCAATCCTCTCTTGAGACTGTCAATAAGCGGAAAATGAGTGATTTACTTGGTAAACAATGTAGATGGATGGAGCATCTTTTGTTTGACTGAACCTTTTTTACACTCACAAAAATAGCAATCAGCAGTATTTCTGAAACAGAGAAACTTCACTGGGAAGTGCTGCTAAAAGAAGATAATGAAAGCAGAAAAAGCAAAAATATGCCTCTTTTTTGGCTTCTCAATCAAGTTCATAGCAAATGACATGTATTTTCCAAGGAAAGAAGAGGGGAAAACTTTATGAAAGGGCACACAATCAAAAGGAAAAC